TTTTTTTTTTTTTTTTTTCCTTCTACTGTTTGCTTTTGTGGTCAGGAATCTTTTGCTTATAAAGCTTCAATAGACTTGAAGGTCTTTGTAAGTGAAGTTCATCTTCAAGGTTGGAAAAAAAAAAAAAAAAGGATCGGATCCTTAAAGAAACCCCTTTTGTGCACCTTCATTTAAAACTCCCACTAACGTTTGATGGTGACATGGAGAAGCTTTTTTCTGCGCCACATTTCCCCCACTTCAATATTTCCCCACTCACCCGCATTGTCCCAAAATGGGGAAAACTTTGTAGTTAGTGAAAAACTTTGTAAGCGATTCCCCCCTGCTTCCCACACCCGGATTGGGGACCCTCTCCTTGCGGAAAATACCTCTCACCCCGCTCCCTCTTGGCCCGACACTGACAATATCACAAATCCCCCGGAACTCCAACCGACTCAACCCCAACAGGCCTGGGCCATCGCCATTTTGCCACCAATTTTGGAGAAAAATAGCAACCCACAATTTCCTGAAGCCCATCCCCAAGAGTTGTATAATTGCTGTTTTTCCCCCCCAAAAAAAGCACTGAGCTCTGCGACACGAGGAAACAATTTTCTGCCTAAACCGATACAGCAGCTCCTCCCTCCCGTTGCTTCAAACTTCCCCATCCTTGCCAACACCTTCATTGATAAACCTCAATCGGACCCCCTGAAAATATCATCTTTCCCCTTTTTTGGGAGGGACAGGGAATCATCACCCCCACCGAGCTTGCCAAAAATCAGATTCCAAGCACCGCAATGGCCAGCTCTTGCTGTGCCTCGTCCCACACCCCACATTTACAACACAGGAGCTTTAAAAAAGTTTAATTTTTCCTCCCACAAGAGGAAAGCACCAACCGTGGGAGATGATAACAGGGCCCCCTGGCTCTCCCCGCCGTCGGCCTGACCTTAAGCTTTTCATCAGAAAGGCCAGACTTATTTTTCCTGAGTTTATTTAGAGGTGCAAGCCCCCTGTTTCCTCCGATTCGAGGACACCCTCTCTCCCCTCTATGCTTCCCCAGCGCCGGTGGCTCGGCAGCAGCCCCAGCGCAGTGCCGATCCCAGCTTCTCTAATTGATATTGATTGGCCAAATCGGTCAACTGTCAGCCAGAGTTTCAGGGGACCACTTAGAGAGCAGGAGAGAAATCTGTTTAACAAATTCATTTAAGAATCAGAGTTGTCTCCCCTCAGCCATCACCTTTCCCCCTTTATAAATAATTGATCCAAAGCAAAACACCAACAACTCTTTCTCCTGGGAGAGCATCCTCAGCCCAGGGGGCTGGGGACCACCTTCCCCTCTCAGGGCCCTGCATCACTCCCCCCCCCACCTCAGCCATCAGTCATTTTTGGAAAGGACAAATGCAAGAGGCTCTGGAGCCATCCCATCTTACTCTTGGTAGGGAGGGACATTTCCCCTCTCCCAGATGTCCCCTCCAGCCCAGCCCCAGGGCACGCACGACCACTTTTACCTTTGTCGCCCAAGATGCCGTCTATGCTGTGCTTGGCCTTCTTCTCCCCGTCTTCCTCCTTCTTGTCACAGTCCTCCTCTTCCTCTTTCTTCCCGAATTTGATGCGTAGCACACGGCTAATCGAACTCACTAAACCTCAGACAGTCAAAGACAAAAAGGCAAGTATAAGCTGCCTGGGAAGCCAAGGTGGGAGCCGGCCGGGAAAACCCAAGCCGGGGCTGCAGGACTTGGGCAGGAAGCCTTGTGCACACATAAAGGGCATCCGTACCCCCTTTTCCCAGGGGTACACACCTGCCTTATCCTCTGTGCCCTCCAAAATGCCCCCAAGTCCACTGAGCTGCCAAGGTGGACACCCGAAGTTGGACACGTTCATCACTGTCCCCCTGTTGTTCACAACAGCCCCCAGAGCATCACAGCTGGTGCAACACCCCGGGGCACACACCCCTGGGGTTACCACCTGCTTTGGAACAGGGAAAAGGCCCCCCCAATACCCAGCTTTCACCCCAGCCTCAAATGGGACCCTCAGCCTGGATTCAGACCTGGACCTTGTCCTGGATGCTGCTTTGGGGGCGGATGTGCCCTGCAGAGAAGGGTCAGCCCCCCCTAAACAGAGAGCAACCCTCAGTAGGACCTAAAGGGCTCACACATCCCTGCAGGCCCAATGCTGGGGTACAGGGTCACTTTCCATGGGTGATGGGGGGGCCCTGGCTGATGGAAACGCTGCTCTGCAGCTCCCACTGAGCAAGTAAGTCCCAGCAGGGCAACCGGGGTCCCCTTTAAGCCTGAATTTGGGGTCTGCCTCCGTGCACGCTCCCTCCGCACCAGGAGCCCCCCCTGTTTTCACAGGAGTTGGAATAAGTTGGGAAAATGGGTTTGTTTGTGTTTGTTTTTCCAGCAGACCGCAGCAGGCCAGGGCACAGCCCCCCCTCGCCTGGTGTTTATTTGCTGCTGTGGGTTTGCTTGGGGTGATTTATTTCCCCCCCCCTCCCCTATCAAAGCAGAGGCTGAGAGGATGTTTATAACCCCTGGAAACATTTCTAGTGGCAATAATAATTTCCCTCCATCTTTCTGACAAGTATCGGGGTGTCCTTCTTGCCAAGCTGCCTTCTCACCTGAGGGCACAGTGCTCCGGTCACAGTGCCCATCTTTCAGGAGCCTGTCTCGGATCTCCCAGCTAAACATCCCGGGGTTTTCCCGTTTGTATTCCTCGATTTTCTTCTCCACGTCGGGAGTCGCAACCTGCTTTTGTGATCAAGGGACACCGGTGCGTGCCCGCGTGTGCAGAGAGAGGGAAGGGGAGAGAAAAAGCGCTTTTAATTGAAAAGAAAAGCTGTTCAAGCTCAGTTCAATCCTCCTCGACCTGGCTGCTAGTTTGGGGGTTGAGAAGAGGGATTTGAAGAGGGAAAAGGAGGGAAATAAAGATGGGGAAAGGCCCTTGTCTCCCAAATGTTGGGTACCCTAAAAGTAGAGTCTCTGGAGGCCAAGGAGATCAGCCAGGCTGGGTTTATCCTGAGCCCCGGGGGGAGAAGGAGGCAGGGAGGGGGTGCAATAGATGCTTTTTGGGGGGAGGGTATGTACAGCCAACGATTTATTATTCCCTCAAACATCCCAGCTCGCCTCCTCACCACACACGGGGGTTAAAGCAAATGCTTGAACACGCGCCACTTGTTGCACATGGGGGAAAAAAAAAAAAAAATCACTTCAATTTATTCATAGCCTTCAACTCGGCACCGGTTTCTACCCATCTGAGCCTGCAAACTGCAGCTTTATCCAAGTCCCTTCTCCTCCCCTCGTCTTTCCCCGCGTGTCCACCTGAAAAACTTAAACCCCCCGCAAAGAAATCTTAATTTTTTTAACCTAAGGAGGGCGGTTTAGCTCGGCCCCCGCATTGCACTCACCCTGGGCTTGCTGCCTCCGATGGCTCCGGGACGGATGGAGCCCGTCTCCTGGTACCTACAGAGGATTTTGGAGACGCAACCGTGGGAGACCCGCAACTGCCGGGAGATCACGCAGGGCCGGATCCCGTGGTGAGCCATCTCCACGATTTTATGACGGATGTGGTTGGGCAACGGTCGACCGTTGATGAACACCCCTCCGAGCTGGTTCACCCTGCCCTGGCCCAGCGGGGTGGAAAACTGGAGAGCAAGGGAGGGGAAAAAAAAAAAAAAAGGAAAAAAAAAAAAAAAAGAAAGAAAAACAAACCCAACAACGGGGAGGAAAAGTTAACAGGGAAAAATCCAGAAAAATGGAGCGCATCCCTCCCCGCGCCTTCAGCTTCTCTCCCGGTATTTAAACCTTTGAAAAAAGGGAGAAACTTCTCGCCCATCCCCTGGCCTCGGTATTTATCTCCGCATCACGGGGGAGACTTTTCCCATCGATGGAGGGAAAATAAAACCAGCCCATGATCCGTACCCCCATCACCCAGCTCCCCGAGGCGGCCGCTGTGTTTGTGCCTCTATCCCTTTATTTTTGGCATTTTACACCTATTTTTAAATCATACCCGACGTTATAAATAAGGGAAGATTTAAAACCGCGTGGCAACCCCCCAAAAAACTTTCAATTTCCACCCCAAAAAATCGCGCACTCCGCTTCAAATTACGGACCTATCTGCATTCAAACAAACTTTTGGAAATAACCTCTTTAAATACCCTCGAGGAGCTTTTGGGTTTTTTTATTGTGGTTTTTGGTGGGGTTCTGTTAAGCGGCTCCGGGAGGTGCAGAGCAAGCGCGGATCTCCCGCGGCCGCGCCGCTTCCCCGACACCTTGCGCGGCGCATCCCCGCCCGGAGCGGGGGACCAGCGGTTCGTTAATCCCCCTCCCCAATTTGTTTAATATCTCGCAATGTAGATCTTGCAGATTAATACGATTTCACAGGCTGGAAATGGAAGGGAAAAAAAAAAAAAAGAGAGAGAGAGAAAGAAAAAGGAAAAATAAAAAAGCGAGGGGAAGAACTCAGCTGGGTAATTTGCAGAAAGACTGGAGGGGGCGAGGGACGGGGAAGGCGAGGGGGGGGATTTTTCTCTTTATACAAAGAAAAGTCGATTCCAGAAATTGCCTCGCGATTTAACAAGAATCATGCACCACTAATTCCAAGTCACTTGGCCAGCACTCCCTGGATATATCATTATCGACAGATAACACTCGAGTGGCCAATTTTACATTCAAGAGGTACTAAAACCGCCGGCCGCTCTCTCTTTTCATTATTCCCAGTCATGTTGTGCAAATATTGTTGTAATCCTTTGATCCTTTCCCTTGCCGTCTGTTTTACTTCATTTGCTACAGAAAAGCACTTCAACAAATCCCCCCAGCTTGTATGTTTTGCAGCCTGCGTGGTTTTCCACAGGTTTGAGTTTCGCCACTTGATCACGGTCAGGATAAAATTCTCCTGTTTAATAAATGCGGGGAGAGGGGTCTCGCTCTAATTTTGCTTTTTTTTTTTTTTTTTTTTTCTATGCCTGGAGTGGTTTTAGCCTCATTGTTCTAGTAATTAACAGTATTTAGGAAAAAAACCCGCATGTTTGTTCTGCCTTTTAATTTAGTTTGCTATATAGTAGTAAGTGCCAGGTTTCAGGAAGACAAATCAGTCTTTATGAGAAAACGAGTGAAATTATAGTGTAGAACAAAATATTACAGCACATAAGTTTACTTGCCAGTCATAGAAATTAGAATGAGGGGTTTATAGTCTAGTCATAGGAGTCCTTTATTTGTCTTTTGACAAATAAAGTCTTACTCCTATTTGCAGTTACACTTTCAATATTTC